AAKATATGGGATGYCATAAGATTGTAAGGTATTGAAAATTCAATATTAAATGCAGGCTTTYATTTAAAACATGGAACCTACCTCGTTTTTACGACCACAGTCACGTTCCGCTCAAGGCTTGGTGTGCCCAGATCTCTGGCTGATACGACAAGGTGACGATTGCCGCCGATCTACGATAAATAATCGAACAAATTACGAGGCTAGTTCGAAAACATGACGAAGAGACAATACAAAACATATTCAACTAAAAGAAAGACATTGTCAGATTCATCAAAGTTGATTAGGAAATAATATTGTCAGTAAAACATTGTATCGTCAGTTTTTTATATTTCATTTGTTTTATTTTTGTTTTTAGTTTATTTTATATTGTATCGTAAGTTGCTGTGAAAGTAATTTTTTGCTCKTGAAGTAATCATGTTTTCTATATTTACATTATATTCACAAGACAAAGAATCTGTAATATTTCAGTTTGCAAGTATTTTGGCTTCAAAAATATTAAGCGCATTATAACGACTTATTTTCTGCCAGTGTTCTTACTTTTTTTCCCTAAAAACATATGGCTTTATGCGCATGCTTGCGATATTTTCCAAAGTGCCCACACATCTTAGAAATCGTCTATTTGAACAATTCTTTTAAAAAGCTTACTCACATCAACTTTTATCTATTTGGAACTAGTTAAACAGATTGAGTAATTCTGAATTGTACCTCAGTTTGCCCTGCAAGTCTGTATTCAATCATACCACCAGAGCCCAAGTCGTCATCTGTAGCAGTGATTGTGAAGAGTTCTGTTGTCTTGATATCTTTAAAGTCATATTCGTACGAACTTTTATCAAACCTTGGCGCATTGTCGTTGACGTCTTGAACATTGATATAGACAATAGCACTAGCGGTAGATAGCACATCTGTACCCCCACCCTCAGTATCTAAAACACAAGGGTTTTAATAATAGCATGGTTATACTAGCGGTATACTAGCGGTAGATAGCACATCTGTACCCCCACCCTCAGTATCTAAAACACAAGAAAAAAGGGTTTGATAATAGCATGGTTATACTAGCGGTATACTAGCGGTAGATAGCACATCTGTACCCCCACCCTCAGTATCTAAAACACAAGAAAAAAGGGTTTGATAATAGCATGGTTATGTTTTTTTATTAATGTAAATAAAAAGAAAAGAAAAAAAGGAAAGGCTGGTAGTAGTTGTTTAAGTTCGTAGAGTGTGTAGACCACCAATAAAAATTAGCCTTAAATTTCTTTTACGTTTAAATTTCTTTTATGGTTAAATTTCTTTTATTCCCATTAAGGCGCGCGCGTCTAAGACTCGTAATCTATTTCGAACGCATGCTTTTTTATGATTTTCTACGTTTGATACGGTTCATTACATTATCATTTCCCATCTAATGACAATCACGACATTACAATGGTCATTTACATATCAGTCTGCAGACATTTGATTAGGGATTCATACAAGCAATGATACCTGTATCATTCTTATCGCTTTCGTCACACTTTGCCTGTCCTGCTCGAACTGTCAAGCTAAACATTKGTGAGGTCTCTCGATCCACATTATTATCCACAGTGATCTCTCCTGAAAAAAAGATTTAGTTCTGAAAAACAAATTCAATATTCTCGATGATAGGAAAGTCAGGGAGTTTTTACTAGCAGAAACATCTCATTTTGAAATAGGTCTCCGCTTTTATCCAAGAATGAGTTTTGATCTTTATAAAAATGCATGACCTTCATACTTTTTTTGCCAGGAAAACACAAAGTTTGGATTCCAGKGATGATTTTTTTTGGCATGAATTAGTGCAAAGAAAAAAACCCTGCGTCGCAGCACATCGTCGAAGATGACTCACCAAAAATAACAAACTGGTTTACCTGTACTCCTGTTGATTCTAAACTCGCCTCCAGGCATCCCGGACTTGATCTTGTAGTCCATAATATCATTTGCAACTTTGTCAACATCAGTAGCTGACACAAACACAATATGAGTCCCTCGCTTCTCGTTCTCACGAATAGTGACATTGTATACTGAAGGCTGGAAAACCGGGCAATTGTCGTCTACGTCGATGACGTTAATAGTTACGTCAGCTGATGACGTCAACCGAGGTCTTCCCATATCTGAAACACGGACCTTCAAAGTGAAGCTCGCTTGAGTCTCTCGATCGAGTTTTTTCTTTGTGRTGATTACTCCTGAAGTTCTGTTCAAGTTAAAGAAGCTTTGGTACTCAACCGTTATGAGCTCGAAGAAAAGCTGCGAGTTGACTCCCAAGTCTTTGTCTGTGGCTAATAAACGCATGACATATGTGCCTGCAGGCTCGTTTTCCTTCACGCCACCGTTAAGTGTTGCATTGTTTATTTCTGGCGTATTGTCATTTACGTCAAGAATGGTGATGTTGACTTTAGTAGTTGTTGACCTGGGAGGGGTCCCCAAGTCAGATGCCATTACCATAAGCAGATAGCTGTCTTTTACCTCACGGTCWAGACGTTTTTGAAGGGAAAGGATGCCTGGAAAGAAACAATTATAATCAGTGTATCTATAACTGCGAGAAATATAGATTGCTTTCGCGATACATTTTTAACTTTTATTGGTAGCCACGAGGAAAAGATCGTGGATCCCTTTTAATGGTTTTGAGGAACTATTCAGTTGTCATCATCCCTTTATTTTCATTGGTGATTACAAAATTAATGTTTGTTTATTTATTGGCGCGGTGAAAACATCAAAAATGAAGGCTGCACAAAAAGTTATACTCAATGACCTGTCTGAGTTTTGTTGCGCAAATCAAACTGACCAAAACATTTGCATGACGTCATGCAAGAGAAATGTATCTCAAACACGTTGATCGTGCTGAAAATCTTTTAAGTGCAGCTATTGTCAGTGATTATCATCCATTGTTTAGTATTTACTTGTTTGACTTCTCATCGACAATATGCGGAAATAAGATTGTTTCAAGATCATATTCGCATCGTGTAAACAGGATCATTTAAAGATGATATATTAGAGACGAGTTATCAGTTATATAGTCTAGGTATCAACTAAATTTCATTCTACTAACCTGTCTTGTTACCAATAGTGAAGACGCCATCTTTGTTGCCACCAGTTACACTATACACGACTTCACCAGCTTTGTTGATATCAGGATCAGTAGCCAGTAATTCAGAAACTACTGACCCTACAGCCTCATCTTCGCTCACCGTCACGTGATAATCACTGTTCTCAAATTTAGGCGAATTGTCGTTTACATCAAGTAAGGTTACGCGGATTGAAACAGATATCTTGAGACTGGGGTTTCCATGATCGGTGGCTGTGCACAGGAAAGTATAGCTGGGCGTTGTCTCTCGGTCTAGTTTAGTATTTGTGTTAATGATTCCCGATGTAGCGTCGATTGTGAAAGCTGAAACTTGCTGGGATAAACTATAAGAAATCTTGCCATTCGTTCCAATGTCACGGTCGGTTGCATGAACCTGAAATACCGGCGTTCCAGCGGTTACATTTTCAAGAACATCAAACGAAAATGAACTTTGATTAAACTGAGGTGCATTGTCGTTGACGTCATTGACTTTGATGGAAACTAAGGCGACGTCAGAAAGCTGAGGGTCGCCTTGGTCTTTAACAATGACCTGGATGACGTAGGTATCCTTAGCTTCACGGTCAAGGGTTTGGGCAGTAGATATCAGACCGCTGGATGGGTCAATGTTAAACTTATCACTATCAACACCACTTGTATTCAGTGAATAAATCAATCCACCAAAAGCGTCTTTGTCTGTAGCTGACACCTGAGCCACTGACGTTAATACGGCCGAGTTCTCCAGGACGCTACCGCGATAGGTTTTCTGGGTAAATTTAGGATGGTTGTCGTTGATATTAATGACATCAATCATGACGCTGGTGAAAGCAGTAAACTTCGTATCCGTTGCGCTGAYGTTCAGTTTGTATGTGGCTATTGTCTCGTAGTCGAGAGCAGACTTTGTTGATATGGCACCGGTTTGTGGATTGATAGAGAAAGTATCTTGTGTATTACCGCTGACTATCTGGTAACGCACCATTGCATTTGATCCAGTGTCAGCATCAGTAGACTTTACAGTTACAACAAGTGTGTTGAGAGAAGAGTTTTCTGCGATRCCCACTAGAATGTAAAAGATGAAAAGAGTATTGGACGGGATTCATAAAGAATCAAAATTGTACTCATTATGACGTCACATCAGCATTCTATTGTTTCAACGCTAAGGATTATAGTCGCCAGAGGGAATCAGAGTGACTGCATATCAAATTAAAAGTACATGATTTTCTCACTTATACATGACATATATGAAAACACGATTCACTGAAGTTTTGCTTTASAAACAATATAAATGGGTTCAAATTTCCACTGTTTTTGAGCATCGCTTTCTAATGTAAACATACTCTTACGTCATAATGAAACACGTCAATTCTAAGTACTGATTGATAAAGATTACAACATAATTTCAAAAATCACAAMAATTAATCATGTTAATTAATACATGAAAAATTTGGAAATGATAAAGGTACAATGGATAAAGAAAGAAAACTGTACAATGTGCGCGAAAGAAGATTCTAATTATCCAAGGATTGGCTTTTGCTGTTTAGACGCCAATTAGGTAAGTTGTAGCAAGGCTCTTCTGGTTGAATAATAACTTAATTAAATCTAGTTCCAACCGCAGTCTGATTGTTAACAACTTAAAAAAGGATGTCAGAATGGCATGTTAACGTACCTTTATAAGTGAGCTTGTCGAATACGGGAGGATTATCGTTGACATCTTCCACATTGATTTGGAATACCTTATCAGTGAACATAGGTGGTGAGCCACTATCAGTAGCTCGTATGGTCARCGAATACATGGGCTTGGTTTCATGATCTATCTTTCCATTTATAGTGATTGCCCCTGATGTTGGGTCAATAGCAAACGTCCCCGCAGATCCTTTCAGGATTGCGAATACAATCTTTGCATTAATGCCTACGTCAACATCCGTCGCCTTGACAACGCCTACTTGAGTGCCAGGAGATGAATTTTCCTTAACATCAAATGTTGTGTTTTGATTGGTGAATTTAGGGCTGTTGTCGTTTTCATCAATGATAGTTATTTTAACGGTTGTACTGGAAGACCGGGGAGGTGTTCCTCCATCACTGGCCGTGATCACCACAYTGTATGATGCAATAGTTTCCCTGTCGATTGAGGCAGCGACAGACAATTCTCCAGTATTGGAGTCAATCTTGAAGGCGTTGTTAGTATTGCCTGATTTAATAGCGTAAGATAYGCTCCCGTTATTACCWTCATCATGGTCAGCGGCATGCAGCCGTAAAAACACCGAATCCCTAGCTGTGTTTTCCACCACGGAGACGGCGTAGCTGTTTTGAGGAAAMCTGGGCGAGTTGTCGTTGACGTCATCCACTGTTACCGTTACCTGGGCAACAGATGATTGGCTTGGAGAACCATGATCCTTTGCTGTTATCAACAATGAGTAAGATGCTTGTTTTTCTCTGTCCAGTCTTACACGGGTTGATAGGAGGCCAGTTGATGGGTCGACTTTAAACTTGTTTTTATCTCCTTTGGTAAGAAGRTAAGTGATTTCCGCGTTTTTCCCTAGGTCGCGATCAGTAGCTTGTACAGTTACCAGTGACTCTCCTACAAAACAATGAAACCATTGTAAATATCTATACAATTACAGAAATAGGCTGTTAGTCTATCTATATTAACATGCGCTCAAACTGATAAACAATAAAACAGCTTTTAGAATATCAATGCCGCTATCATTTGCTAATCCTGGTTATTAGTAAGGTATCGCAAATGCATGGAGAAMAGAAGCGCAAAAAGAAGAAAGATGTTTTTTGTATTGCGAGGTTGCTTCATCGCCATTGGATCCATTGTGTGGCTTTAGATGATAGATGAGTAAAGAACTGAACATGCTTGTGCACTTTTATCATTTACCACTTATCTTTCTCAATTATCATTACTTTTTTTCATGATTTTTTAGAATCTTTGATTCATTTGCAAATACAGCTATTCGCAATAATTCTAATAYTCRTATATATCAAAGTAGACTTAAAAATTATAGGATACAATTGTTCTTTTTGTTTTTTTAGAAAGTACTCATTCTGGACAAATCAAAAAATTTATCAGTCATAATATGCCATAATATA